TGATGGAAGCATGTTGTTTTTTTCTGTCATGTTTATATTTATATATATTTTTTAAGATGTTATTTTTGTAATATTTGAATTCTGTGATGTTATATTTTATCGTCAGCCATGTGAAAAGAGGATTTTTTGGGGGAACAAATTTGTGGGCATCAGATGATTTTGTTAGACATTCAATTTTAATTTTGTTTTTTTCCCCTATAAAAAGAAAGCTAACTATATGAAAGGATTATTTTTATGGTTTTTCTTTTAAATTTGGTCTTTAATTTTTAAAATTCTCATTAAGCTCTTACCTATCTGTTAAAATTGAAAAAAAAAAAATTTAATTTTGTTAATTGGCAAATTTGATTTTGCAGACAAATGGGTTGAATTTTAGGTAAGTTAGCTTTTAGGGACCCGTATTTAAATATGTTAATAAAATAATAATTTTTTTATTAATAATTTAAAAAAGAAATTATGGAAGGATTTGCAAGAGATTAAGGAACATAGGAGGTATTTAGCCTACGAATAATAAAAATTGAAAATTCGAAATGATTAAATTGCCGGACACGTGGCAAACTGATTGTTCCTTCTCCGCCACGTTGGTTATGCCAATTGCTATAATATTAATATTAAACAAATGGAAATATTCCAAATCCTTCCGGCGAAGTTGGCGTCGTCACTCTCTCGGAAATCGGCGATTATAAAACAGAGGCTCCGATCTGCGAAATTTCTGAACTATGGCTTTACAAATCGTGTACGGAATACTCTTCGTCTCATTCTCCTTCACTTTCATCATGCTTCTCCACCTGATGCTCCATCCAGTTTTCTATTTCACTTCCTGAAACTGAAACCCTAACAATTTGAAGTTCCCCCACTCGACCACACAATGTTAATCAATGGAAGTCGAATTTCGTTGACGGAAGTTCCGATTGAAGCGAGAATCGCTAGGTCATCTCTTCCTTTCTCTTCTTCTTTCTTCGATCTTATGAATGTGAACATTGTTTGTTTCCAATAGATGAAGTAGATTCTTGCGATTGTTTATGCTCGCGATGTAATTTATTTAGCGATTTCATTATACGGCGATTCTGTTTCTGATAATGATCTGCTAAAGAGTACTTGAGAAGAAAACCTTGATTAGTCTTGGGAATTATGTTTATGAAAGATTCTACTTCATATGAGAACTCATTTCATTTTCCTTCATTTTTTACTTCTGTTGATACTTTTTTATCTTTCTTGTGTTCATATTTAAGAGATTGCACAAAATTGGAGATATGTTTGTTTATTTTCACATGATCTTCGAGATTGCTAGAACATTTCTTCTTCTTCTCATTTCTCTATCAACCATTCTTCTTTAATCCTTTCCCACTTGTCATCTCATCGATTTCTGTTTTTTTTTCTCTACCTATCTCCTTTTCTTTTCCCACTTATTCTTCTGTCTTTCTTTTTCCTATTTCACTTATTATTCTGCGTTTTTTTCTCTCTCACCGATGAAATATTAAATTTCCGCCTTCGACATTTCCATTGTAATAAAAAGAATCGACAAACATAAAAAATTAAATAAAATATTTAGACAATATTAACCCATCAACTTTTAACGTATTTAAAAATAATGAAATGCTTATCGGTTAATTTAAAAATAAATTATTAGTTTTTCTTATTATCATGCTTTATATTTATCAATATTTTCTAAATTATTAGACATAATTTAGGTTCTAGGAAAGAACCTAGAACCCGATCTAGGGAAGAATAGCAAATCATATTTTTTTTCCACTAAAAAAATGTAGTTTTCGGTAGGCGTGTTCATGTTTCGGTTGAGGTTTCAGTCATGAATCGAAATAGAATTGAACATTTTTATCTGAAAAATAAAAAATGGCACCAAACAAATAATGCCATTTGACTGTTTGAGACAGAAAGTGAGGGTAAAAGATAATAAATTTATTATAAATTTAGAGTAAAAAAAAACAAAAACAAAAACATATGTGTCCACTGACAATGTCGAAAAAAATCACATTTTTCATCATTGCCTCCCACGCCACGCAAAGCAACCTAATTATGCATCTCAATTCTCAACATTTTCCATCTGCATTTCAAAGTTTCTATAAAAATGAGAATTATTTTTCATTTTATAGAGGCGAGGGAATGATTGAGGCGGAAGTAAGAGGGAGCTGAAAAGTAATAATAATAAATAATGCATTAAAATGATTTATATATTTTCAACTTTGATTCATTTTAATATAAAATATAGAGACTAAAATTAATATTAAAAGTAACTAAAATTAAAAATAGAGGGACCGGACAATTTGATTTGGTTTTCAATTTAACAAACCCTAATTCGATTAATCTAAAACCAAAATAAAACCAATGTTTTCTTGATTTTAGTGCACACGCATAGTTTTTAGAATTTTGATTTGAGTTAAAAATGCAAACCTACTTTTAAGAAGGTGAGAAATATAGACAGAAATTATGAGAAATCAAGCAGAATTTTTAGAAACAAAAAAAAAAATAAAAAACGAAATAGTTATGAAATGGTTACTACGAGCATGACGCGTTGTTGTAAATATTACAACCCTTGAACGTTTTAAACATCACATTTACAAATAAATATTTTACCAAGATCTAAAACCAATGTTCTAATATAATGAAACCATGTACATAGGATCGCCAGATAAATTAGTTAGAACTTCTAATTCTCTACAAACCAAAATTTTCTTCAAAGAGATGTTCAAAGCCTGATTAAATGCCTGTGAACCTTTGGTACTAGTCGACATGTCAACGATACTCTAGTAGACGTTCTCTCAAAAGACTTGTGATCGTGATTGACTTCGCCGTTCGCATTTTCTGATCCTAATAGACAGTTCTGAGCTTCAACTTTGTTCACTGCCTGAGAGAGCGTAGAGATGAGAAACAAACTGCCATATTCTGACATTAATCAATTAGATTTTGCGAAAGCTACATGAAATTGTTGTTGTCTTACCTCATCGTAACATTGAAGACTGTTGTCTTTGATACCATGCAAGTAATCTGACAAACAAAATGAGGCAATATAAAAAAATAAAAAATAAAAAATAAAATATAAAAAGTGACAAACTTCACTAAAAATGAGAAGGTTAAAACAAAATCAAGTTCAAGGTTTACCGGAATAAGCTTCATCCTTAAATATGAGCAAACTACGAGGCATTAGAAGGATAGAGAAGGGTCGGTGAGTCTTGACTTCAGAAGTTCCATTAGTATCTTCGTCATTGAAGTTTTCTTCCAACTTGTCTGTACATGATATCAACCTTGAATGGGGAGTGAAATCCATAACGACGGGCGAACCAAGTGATAGAATTGCTACTACAGGAAAGTAAGCAGGCCCGTCTTGGTGAGGCTACACAAAAACAGAAAAACTGTTTCTAAGATGTTTACTTAGCTCAGAAATAGATTTTTACTCAGCACAGATGTTAGTATATATATAGATTATATCTATGATATGATCATAATTCATGGCAATGCATATGACTATAACACAAAGAAGACAAGGAAACTTGAGTTCAAACCATTATGCCTTGGTCGGGAAGATACTCATTGATAAGAACATGGTTTATGGGTTCAGGGTATAGACTTGATTCTTCATAAATCTTCTTGGTGATATTTGTAAGCCAAGGAGGCACTGCAGAACATCAAGAGACAGATATTTATCAGTATAACTGCTTGAAATTGTTCAAATCTCTGGTATTATAATCTCTTGGAAAGCTGTAAATTTAGATGAGTGCCAACCATAGAGGACAATTAGGCACAGCAGAAAATAATTATGCAATAGAAGGGTCATGATGGAAACAAAATTTGGTAACCTGCAGAAGGATCAAGTGCTCTTCAATGTAAATGATATGGATGCTTGTACATCCTATTAAAGTAACCATGGAAGGTAAATAAAACTATGCAATATAAAGAGCATGAAAATGAGTTGGGCCACGTCGATACCAAATTCCAAGCTCGATGGCAGTACAAAATCTTTCCAGCTGTTTTCTGTCATTCCCAAGAGATCTAGCCAAAACTATTGGTTCCCCAGAGTAATCAAGGGCAAACGTTAAATTTGGTAGTGTTTCTCTGATCAGCAGTTGTTTATGAAGAAATATCCTAGGCAAATTGTAAATTCAAGCCCAGAGGAAGAGAAAAATGAAATGTGCAGCATTCCAAACCTCCACAGTGCATTCTCCTATACACTGTCTTATAATTTCGATTTGAAGTCAGTTTCTTTTCTCAGTAATCAAATTTCTCCTATATGTTGTCTTCAAATTCTAAGCTTTTCAAGGAAAAGTAGTCACACAATCACACGGAACAGAAATGAACTATTACCTTGAATATATCAAGTCCATTATAAAAAAAGCATGCTAGAATTTTGCATTCAAGTCAATAAGAAGTACAGCTCAATGCAATAAGTTTAAACTGAATTGCATGTAATTCCAGGACTGGAGCCAAGATATTTTTGGATAGTTCTTAACTTACATTCTTGGGGTAGAAGACCTTTTTCATGAACAACGCCACCTGCAAGAGATCAATGGATAAAGAAAACAGTATTATTAAGTAAAACAGAGAGGATTATTAACTCAAATTGCCTTTCAACCCCTTTGGAAATATTTCAAGCGTGAGATAACTATTCTACATACCCCAATTCTGCAGCCTCCTGTTCTTCAAGGATTTCCATTTCGACACAGGCGCTTTACAAATCTAGAAATGAAAACTTACGCAGTTTAACGCACCATCACAGGACAAAAAAAGGGTTGTGAAAGAAAAACAACAGCGAAATTCGGTACATTATCCAGAAGCAGGATCTCATCGTAGTCTTTTACGAAGTCGGGAATGTAGAACACTGTTGGAAGATGCCCTAATTTGAAGCGATTAAAMCCCTCCACTGATTCCATGCTTCGTTTGGAATCTCAATCTCCAGATAGATTAGAGACCGTAAAGACAGAAATTGATCGAGAATTTTGTGCAAACAGAAAACTGTTGAGGTGGACGAACTCTTCACCCCGCTCCTTCCAGTCCGTCTCTTCCAACTATGCATCAAAAATTGAAACCCTATTCAGAAAACTGCAGGCGCATTCACAGATACATTTGAAGAGAAGAAGGGAAGTAGAGAAATATAGAGATGAGGGGTTTAACTAGCGAAAGTGATGAAGAATACTCATGAAATCGAGATTTCGATTCACACTCAATTTGAATGTATGTCGGTCTAGTCCTTCAACTCCGAATTTTTTTTTTTGGGAAATTTGAATATAGTAACCCTCCATAATTGAAATTGGAGTTGTGATCCTTAATAGGAGCTACCCTTATTTATAATCTATTTCAGAATTTGTAAAAGAGGGATATTTGTAAAAGTGGAATTATTCTACTATCCCATGTTTTAAATTCCACGTCTTTCCCCCCTCATTCTCGGACCCTTCCTATTCCTACATCTCCAAAAGTAAAACCCTATACCTATATTCTCCGACCATTCGTTTTCCTCCGTTCCCTCACTATTCTCGAACCCTCCATCCACAGTGAATGTTCTATTTCATATTTTCCAACGTTTTGCATCCACCATCGCCAACCAACATCATCATCATCTTGGATATCAGAGGAAGCGAGGTTATTGGCTCTAATCTTCGAAAATTTTCGTTACTTAGTGTTAGGTTTCCATTTTTGGCACTATCTGAAGCATCCAATTTGTTTTACGATAGATTGTAGGGTTCCAGATATCGAAAATAGAAGAATCGTTTTTCAGATTCAATCCCGGACTCAGTCATGCCAATCGAATAAAACTAGGTGAGATAAGAAAATGATTAACAAAAAAACAAAATAAAATAAAAATTTTGCTTCATCCCGAACGGTCTCGGACCAAATTGCACCGGGATTGAATTATCCAATCTCGTGCAATATAACTTCAATCTCGAACCGGGTATTGATCCGAGACAACGATCTGAACCACGTTTTTTTTCAAATAATTCCGTTCCAGCAGAATATATTAATGACTAAATATTTCAAATATTTTGAACAATTTTAAAATAAAAATGTTGAAAGTGTAATATACTTAGTTTTCAAAAGTGAAAATGTGAGGTCAATGATTTTGGATAGCGTGGGATAATGATTAAACACGTGGACAATAATATTTGTTTGAGAGGATTTAAAAAACATAAGTTTGTTTGTTTTGGAGTTTTCTAAAATATGGGTTTAGAATTTAGTGGAATAGATAGGTGAAAATTTAATATATCATAAATACATATTTATTAACCAATGAAGGTAAATTTCGTTTTTTTTCCAAAGATAAAAAATTGAAGAAGAATTAGATTTTTTCAAAAGGAGGTCATAAATCCAAAATCAATTATGGGAGGGTCATATATTCAAATTTCCCAGATTTATTCTTCTCCTTCTCGAATAATTCAAACCTTTGAACTCCTTAAAATGTCTCAATTTTTTATTTGTATAAGATAATACCATAATAAATGAAACGCTGGTTTAAAATACACATTTGTTTTCTCAACTTTGAACAAAGCAAGGATTTAATCCATAAACTTTCAAAAGTAACCATTTAGTTTTTTACTTTAAAGTTAGTTAAAATTTAGTCCTATTGTGAAAAATTAGGTTAGATTTAAATTGTGACGTGGCAAATTGATGTGTACAATAAAATGGCCTGCTATACGGTTCATTGTCTACTTAATTCAAAACTAAACCGATTTAGTATTGAAAAACAGAATAATTATATAAAATAAAATACAAAACCTACTTTCTCTCTCTTCATTCAAAAACCCTAGCCTTTCTCACTCTTCCTCTTCCTCTCCCTCTCCCTCTCACATCCCTTAAGCCAGCCGCCGTCCTCATTTTCTTTCTTGTTCGTTAAACCAAGCAGCCGCACGATTTTTCTCCTCGGCGGCCCATAGCTCCGATGACACGAGCGACGGCGGCGACTAGATCTGTGGACGAAGCAGACGGGCGACGCTCCTTCACACGATCCAGCTTCGACTGTAGATCCGACGACTCCGCAGCAGCAAATCCGAGCGGCGCGATCTCCTACCGGCGACTCAGATCTGCAGTTTCTTCTGCTAATACCGATCAAAATGGAGGTGGTAGTTTTCTTGCTCCACACTTATTGGAAGCTTGCTCTCAAGTAGGGGTGATCATCGGTCGGTTTCGGTTTTTGGACAAAATGGGCACCGAAAATCGACCATATCGGTTTCGATCGGTCGGAAAACTTTTCTTTTCTTACCTCCGTGCAAACCGACCGTCAACCGACAGTTCGGTTGAGTCAAACAATTTTAAGTCATATTAAGCACAAAAAATATCAGTTGAAATGTTCAAAATTACAAAAGACAAGTTGGGTAAAGAAGGATAAAGGAACATTACAGAACTTTTTGGTAATATGCAATTAACTAGCACATGAAACCTCACCCAATGCCTAATTGAAAGGGTGATGTTGAAAGGATCTACTTTATTCAGACAGCACTCAGCAGGGCCTGAATTGTGCAAATTGGCAAAAATGATGCTCATTCTGTAATAGATGTAGGGATAGCTATGTATAGTTCACAAAAAACATTGCTATCTAGATGATACAAAAACTTCATTTGTGTTTTTTGCAGGACAAAATTGTGTGAGAGATGAACTGAGAAGTAGCTTCTAATGATATATAACTCAGGTACGTTTTCTGCATAATTTATCCTCCCATTTCTTTGGATCAACAACTTTAGTTGCTTATTGTCTATAGAACAATCAGGTTAAATGTGATGGTGAAAACGAAGCAAAGACAAAATAATAATCCTAGTCATCTTTCTGGCTCTTCAAACTCTGTTATTGGTTTGGATTTGCACGGAGATGATAGTTGGGTAGTGGTGAAGAAGCAGAAAGTCACAATCCTAGTGCCTCCCTCATCGATAGTACGAAAATCCTCAACTCCCAATGCAGGGCAAAGTCAGCTGCAACCAATTTCTCTTGAAGAGAAATGTCTAGAAGTGCCTGCAGCTGTGCTGCCACTGTCTTCTAAAAATGTTAAGCCACGAACTTCGAAATCTGCTCCTCCGCATCATATTTTGACATCGAACGAGCCACTGAAGCAAGCTACGAGGCCCCAAAGTCCAGATGAAGCTTGCAATTCAGGGCCTTCTAAGGTTTTAGGAGTAGTGAATGCCACGAAACCGATGTTGCAGCCTAGACGGTTGCATTGCCCTGATAGCTTTCTCAGTGGAGGCACATTGTTAAATTTAAGACTCAGGGCGCTTAATCTGGAGAGGAAGCTGCAGAAAGCTGGAGGTTTAAGTAGGTGGTTGATATCTCTGGGATTGCACCAATTTGTGGGTATTTTCCAGAGAAAAAGCATCAACAAGTTTCAGCTGGTGAATCTGACCATGAACAAGCTGAAAGATATGGGTGCCAATGCAGTGGGGCCGCGTAGAAAACTGATACATGCAATTGAGTGTGTCTGTCAACCCTACAATTCTGAACCTTTTGAGCGTGTTTATCGTATTTAACCAATGGATTCGAACCCATCCTTCAGCTTTCTTGCAAGGGTATGCAGTCCCATCCAAAGAGAAGGATATACATTGGTTCAGTTCTAAATGTGTATTGCATCTTCGAGGGATTGATGGCCGAAAAAGTGTACAACTGAGGTCCTATCTCTAGAGTTATGGTTTTCTTCTTGAATAGTCAAACAGAGAACTGTGTAAAGCTCCAGTTTTTAGATAGTGAAGATAGAAAGCACGTCTTTTCTCAAATGTGCTGGGGTTTTATATCTAACAAGATCACCATATAATTAATGGTCAGAATTGTAACGGGGATGAACCTTTCTTCATTCTCCATTTTGTGTGGTAGGAGATCGTTCCTTTGTATGATACACATTGTGCAGTTTATAGAGGTGTTGTTTTACTGGTTATTTTGAAACTTCTATACAAATATTTGTCAGTTTTATATTTAAGAGAGAGGTTCTTGAAGAGCTTAATGTAAAGATTGCTCTTAATCCAATCATTTCCATGGATCGATCTTTATTTTAGTACATATTTCCTTTTCTTAAGTAGAACAAGTAGGAGAGATTCATGACCTTCATCATAGACAAGTAAAAGATTGCAGCAGAGACTTCAACCTTAACTTTCCTTACATTTCCCGAGTCAACTTCCTTGTTTAACTTTTCATATGCAAATTTGCCAAAATTGTGGTTGCTTGAGCTGACTGTGATAACAAATTAAAAGATTTCAATGCTTGGACTGACTGTGTAATGTGTACACTTCCATGCCTGAATTCAGCCCCTAACAGAAAGAGATTAAATTACTAAATTGAAAATATTAGGAACTAAAACATACTCGATACTTTCAATTAATCACGCTTAACAGTTGGATTTTGTCCATTACATATTTCCTTCAATCCAGATTCAAAAGCTCCCATTGAGGCAACAACACAACACTAGTAATGGAAGTGAAAGTGATGAGATTCTAGAGGAAACATGGAGATCTGATCCATGTCCACTTATATTAGTGGAGTAAAAAAAAGTGATTCAAAATCTATTGCTCCCAACCTCCTAATCTCGTCCCTGGATTGTAGTTAGTGAACAGCCGAAATTCATTTCCAAGCTTGCTAGAGTGGCGCGGCCTAAAACCACACAGATGAAATCCCATTAACTCGGCTGCTCTTTCTGCTTGCACTTCTCCTGCATTTCAGTGTAACACAATGTTTTATCATAAGCAAAGTAATAGAATAAAATCCAAGAAACCAATCAGTATAGAAATCTTGGCAAATCAGACGACTATGGAAACATTTACTTGCAGTAGTAAAAGCAAATTGTGATGTCAAATAAAATCTGAGGGTCATCCATTGTTATAGTACCTGTTAGTAATAGAAGGTGAGATTCTCGATGTTTTGCTAGGAAAGAAATTGTACGGGTGACTTTCTCCAAACATTCTTTACTCTGCCAAAAAGAATATAGAGCACAAATTATTCATGGCTAGAAGAATCATGTTTCATATATATATAATCCATTACCAAGAACTAATACAATCTAAATACAGAATCGTCTTCCAAGGAGATGTGCCACGATCTTGTGGGAAAACTGTTGGATGACATTTTCTTTCCCTAGCTATAGCCAGCTCCTTTTATCAAGCTCTTCAAATATTGCCATTTAACATGACTTGTGGTTTTTGAGAAGTATATTTTATTTTTAATTTATGTGTCTTACTTTTAGAAACTAACGTGTTTCCGTGTTTGTGTCATATATTGTCCAGTCTAGCATACTGTGCTTCCCCGTTCATCTTAACAAAGAATGTGAACTGAACTGAGGGTGGGGTAGGGAATTCCTTCAAATATATTGAATACTTTTAAGGGAAAAAATATCATAAAATTTACATGGCTAAAAACAAATAATAACAAAAAACTAAGGGCTGATCTAAGTTTCCAGGTAGATGTCAAGAAAACTGAAAATCACACAGAAGGTTTTTGATATTATAAATAGAGGTGCTCGCCTGAAAAAGGGAAAAAGAAGAGTTGTGTGAACGAGAAGTATTCACCCTGATTATGAAACATCCAAAAATGTGAAAGGACTAATCATAAGCATCTGAGCTATAGATTGAAGATTCACTCACCAGGTAAGGAGGATCTGCTACTACAATCTGAAAATCATGCTTCAATTCAGTCGGCAATTCTTCTGGTTCATTGTAATCATAGAATGTGAAGTCGCTGCCATGTTGGGAAAAGCGTTTGTCATACTCAAGAAGTTGTACAGATACATGGGGACCAATTTTCTGAGGAATGGAGATCAAACGAAGGCAATATATTAGTTAATAGTAAAGCTGGTTAGTTGTACAAGAAAATGGGCAACAGAAAGATTCAAAAAATACTGTGTATAACACAGAAAAAGACAGAAAATAACGATCTCATGGAAAAGAGAATAGAGTTTCCAATCAAAAAGACAATATTCAAAACTCAAATAGACTAGTCTAATGTCTATGGCTGAATTATGGGCACTGAAAAAATGCCAAACAAGGTCAGTAATTAGAAATTATCATACCCAAATCGAACAAATCAAATCATGTTAGAGAACATTTAAACTTAAAAATAAAAATCTTATAGTGCTGAATCAACTTGATAAAAATAAAAATTTATAGTTCTTTGTAAATTTGGAGCATGCTCTACCCTGTGAAGCAAAACTCAAATCTAATGAGTTCGATGGAACATGTGACCTGAGGACTTGGTCTCTTCCTCATCATCTTTGGCGCTAATTTTCAGCATTGATTTGAATGCAAGTGCCTGCTAGTAGAGTAAAGCAGGTGTCTGTTACAACCATTTCAAATAACCAAGGGCCATTCGTCATCAACGATAGGCAAATCGTGAACTTCATTTTGATTGCTAATGAAGTGGTAAATGAGAGAAAACAACAAACGTGAAAGGTTTCTAATCAAGGGTAACTTGGAAAGGTCTATGATAATGTGGATTGGGAAACACCGACGCGTGGAGGAAGTCCTATTTCTCAAAAGGTGGTAAACTTACACAAATACAAGCCACTCGGCAAATACACCTTTGTACGTTTGTACCTTTTTCCTCTTTTCCTCTTTTCTTTTTATTTATTTATTTATTATTATTATTATTATTATCTTCTTTGAGAAGAGAAAACACCCTTATACTACCTCCCCTTATTTAAGATTCCTTCATAATTTGCAAGTACAATCGATAAATTTTTTCATAAATTCTCGTGGAAGGGGCTTGGACATTGGAGGTGGTGGTCACTTGACTAATTGATAGATTGCTTCTCTTACAAACGATTGTGGTAGTTTATTCTTGGTAAATGTTTAGAGAAAGAACATAGCCTTAATATCTAAATGGCTTTGGAGTCACAAGGAACGTGATAACTTGTGGCACAGTATCATTCTTAGAAAATATGATTCTGACGCTCATGGATGGTTCAGAGATCCAGGCAGATTAGCCCTACATGTCCATGGTTTCCCATTGCTAGATGGGATAGATGTTAGAGAATTTTATTTCCTCAAAGTAGGAGATGAGAGAAGAATTTGATTGGTCTTGGGGAGAATTCATGGATAACCAAAGTGGCCATTTCTAGTCTCTTCCCCAGATTGTTAGCTCTAGTACATGGTCACCACAAAACAATCAAAGAACTAAGAAGTCTAAAGGGAGAGCAGCAAGCAAGGAATTTAAGCTTCATAAGGAACCTCTAAAAAAAAAAAGGAAGAACCAAGATGATATGTAACCTCTGGTGTAGTATTGAATATGTCAAACTGAATAACCAAGATGATAACAGAGGGCTGAATATTAATGGTCCAGGGGATCTCACCAATAAACCTATGTACATTCGGGTAAAGGCCAAGCCATCCCTAGAGAAATTGCTACATTTATCTAAAAAAGGAAGGCCACTCAAATTGAAGAACTCTTCTTTGAACTCGCGCCTGTAGTAATATAAACCATATTGAAGGCCCCCTATAGAATGCAGCTTTTCCAAGTTATTTTTCCTTTGAAATAGGCCTCTTTATATACTATATGTGTCATTTTGTAATTCCTTTTTCCTTCTGTTATTCAAATCAATTTGAGAGTCCTTCAGCCTTTCAAGATATGCCTTGCCATCCCTATTCTAATGGGCAAAATTTGTTTCTAATATAACATTACCAAATTTTTAACAATAAATCATTCCTTCTGCAAATTACGTTTGCTTCAAGTTTAAAATGCCAGGTATATAATAATACATGCTAAATTGGTACAAAGCCACTAATTAAAACACATTCTTATCATGGCCATGATTAAAGCTATGCATACTTCACTTCTCCCCACTTGAAATTCAAGCAGCCTCTGATTACTAAATTAAATCCGAGCCTCTCAAGAATAGGAAGTGAAAAATAAAGTTCCAGTTCCAAAACGTGAGAAAATAAAACGATTATCCAAATACCTTCAGATAGGTATAGAGCGTTGGACAGGCAACACAGGCGACTCGAGGAGAATCGAACTTCTGGCACAGCGTAAGAACCTCATTTGCCACAGTCTCGGCAGTGTCGCGGTCGTACCAGAACTGACTCAACCTCCAATCCTCCGCCACTAAAGCGACCTGTGAATCTTCGGATACTCCATTTTCGGAGTGAAGTTCACTCGATGGTTGGCTTTGCTCGGCGAGGAACTCCTTGAGTGCCGCTAGGGCATGAGAGCTCAGCAATGGTGGATCATCCTCCTC